CAAAAATTGACCCCTCACGAACACTCATGTCATTTCATGAACACACATGAAAAACAAAAAAAACAGAAACAAACATGAACGCTCACGAGCATTCATGAATAACGCACGAAACTCACGGAAATTCACGCGCATTCACGACAGTTCCCAAAACACCTCAAATGCACGCGAAGTCTCGCATTAACACACGAACTTTTACAAACACTTACGAACACAACCTTTCACGAGAACTCACATAACTCATGAACCGTTAAGGCGATTCACGAACCGTGAACACAGAAACGCAAAGCACATAAATGCGCAACTCACACACAAGAAATTACCTTCAGAGGAAACACCTTACTTTCACTCAACGTCCGCGAGTAGGTGGTAGGTTGTCGTGCAAACCGTGTAATGCACTTAACATGTGGTTGCAGCTAAAGGCTTAAACTCTATGACGATGATCTATACGATCAAGTATTGAAATGCCGTAACCAGCTCCACTGTTTGTACGTTCACTGTCATGTGTTCTAACAAGATAAGCTTATTCTTCACATTCCATGTTCCTGTGGCTGATCGTAAGTGTGATTTCCAGGATCCGCTGTTTTTGTTGTGACGCGTAGAGCTGGTTAATCAAGCTGCAATTATTTACTGATGACGTATTGTCATGTCTATATTTTTTGTATGCAAATATTTGGTTGTACATGTGTATTTGATATATGAATAAAGCCAAAATGCGTTAACGAACCGCATCTCCAGTACAACGAATCCCGAAACGCCTAGTCCCGAGCCGCTCTCAAACGGAATTGGTCCGTGATGCGTCCCCAATGTATGCTGAATGTGTCCCAGAAATGTCCCTCAAGAGTCTTTGGGGCACGTGTCAAAAAGTATTTCAGGCCAAATTTGGGTCCCCCGAAACTGTACCATAGTTGTTCCCGAAAAACTTTTTGGGGACGGGGGTGAAATCTGTCCCCAAAGTCTCCTGCGGGATGGATTTGGGAGTTGGGTTTCTTAGATGACCTCTGAGATACAAAACCTGAAGTCAGGCTGGTGCGGTGACCGGTGTGCTGTGTTTTGGGTGCACGCCAACGGGCTGTTCTTGGAGTTGTACTGCCGTGTGTAGGCGGAGGGCTCAAGCGTGAACGCGGCAGGGGAGTGTCAACGGGAGTTGGGTGTGGCCCCGTCCTTGCTTGGGCGGAGCCGACCTTGTGGCCGGGTGTACAGGGGAGTGCAGCCAGCCGACAGCAGTGGGCGAGCTGGTCGATGAGTAGGTCGACCTGCACGGGGACCACTGCGACGGGCGCCGACTTCAGGGCGCCTAGTTTGGGGTGGTCGACGAAGGAGGGGCCGTCATCGACCTCGACAGGAAGACTGGGGACGTCGACATGGAGGGCGTCGAGTGGGAGGACGCATAGCAACTGGGCGTCGAATAACAGGGCGCCGAGGCAGAGGGCGCCGAACATTTGGGACGCCGGACTTGTGCAGCCGGCGACCGACCGAGCTGGTCGACCAAGCGTGGTTTCCCGGTCAACCGGGATACCCGGGCGACGTGTGCGAAGGTCATCGGGGTGGCTTCTGCAAGGCCGACCTCGGGGGTGGTATCCCGAGGTCGACGTGGCTGGTGGGCGCAGTCGCTGGCGTGGAGTCGACCTGGGCGTCTGCGCAGTGCACATGATGAGGAAGAGTGCACCAACCAGCTGCACGCACCTGCGAAGCAGGTGCATCGTTGTCCTGCGGGTGCAACGCAGTGCAACCGACAGGCTGCAGCGTTGGCACACCGGGGACTTGCAATGTTGGCAAGCCGTGACTTTGCTCTGCTGGAGCGAGGTCGACCAATTCGTGCTGGTGCGCGGTCGACTATGCTGCGCTGAAGGTCGACCAGCAGCCTAGCTAGCTCTGATGTAGTCTGTGTTGCCAATGTTGTTGCTATCATTGTTGTCAACTTTCCTTAGTGAAACTCTTGCCAAATTGCCCCGTGAACTAGCAAACAGTGTGTGCACTAGGAAAATGACTAAGGAACGCAGAGATCACTCTTGCCCTATGCCTAGCCCGCAGCCTAGCTCCCGTTGTACTAGTTATCTCCGCAGAAGCAACGTGGTAGTGGCAGGGGTTGATGGAATTGCATACAGGAAGGGAGGTTTGGCACCAGCGGCAGGGAAGCCTGAGGGTGTAACAGTGCATGGCGTGGCTTTCAGGAGTAATTCGCCCTCGACAGATTCTCAAGGGAATACCTCTCCAACTACCCTCACAACCAGCCAGTCTCCCAACTCCTCTTGCGCAATGCCTGTCGGTGTGCAGAGTAGCGGTGGAGGAAGCCAAGCAGCAAGTCTGGTTGCAGCAATGAATTTTGATTCAATTCAAAAGCCAACAGAGGATGGAACGGCCCCAATAGTACCCGAGCCAGCAGAGGATGGAATGGCCCTAATAGTACCCAAGGCAACAAGAACTGGAGGTGTGGTGGGAGAGGCAGTAGCAGAAATGGCATCTTTATTAATGAAGGTAGCAGAGGCAGGAGCAGAAGCAGGAGCTAGAAACCTCTTTGCACATCCAGGTCCCGCCTCCCCTCTCCTAAATCCGCCCAACTTGCACTCTGGAATCTCCCCTGCCCACCCTCTCCTATCCAGTGCTGATAGTCAAGCAGCAGTGCAGCAAGGGCTATTACACCAGCAGCAGCAAAGCAGCAGCGCCGCATTGCAGCAAGGGTTATTGCCCCTACTGCAGCACCTCATAATGCAAGCACTGGAGCTAGAGTTGCTGTTCCAGCAACAGCAAAGCAGAAAACCATCAGTGCAGCAAGGGCTATTGCTCCAGCAGCAGCAAAGCAGCAGCGCTGCAGTGCAGCAAGGGTTACTGCTCCAACTGAAGCAACTCAGCATGCAAGCATCGCACCTAGAGTCACTGTTCCAGCAGCAGCAAAGCAGCAGACCATCAACGCAGCAAGGATTATTGCTCCAGCAGCAGCAGCAGCAGCAGCAGCAGCAGCAGCAGCAGCAGCAGCAGCAGCAGCACATCAGACGAGTGGTACAGCAATAGCTGTTGATCCAGCAGCAGCTAAGCAGCAGGCCAGCAGTGCAGCAAGAAGTATTGCTCCAGCAGCAGCATCGCAACATCCCGGCAGTGGAGTAAGGCCCAGCGCAAGCGCTCTATAACGAGCCATCCTTCACGCAGCATCAGTTTGAAGAAAAGCCACCCAGAAGCAGCGTTGATGGTGGCGGTGCAGGAGAAAGGGGAGATAGAGAGCAGGTGGAGAGGGTGAATGACGGCTGGGAGGACATGAAGAGAAATATTGAATGGCTAGTGGTGGGTACAGGAGACGCTCCAAGTTGAAAAAAGCCAGATCCTTCTGGGGCATGGCAGATTGTGCAGAGGGCGATGCGCATTGGGGAGGAGCACATGGCAGCATCAGAAAGAGTGATAGTACCACCTCCATCAGCTGCTACTTCTCTGGTAGCAGCCAGTTCACTCCAATCCCTCCCCCTCTCCCACACCCCCACCGGAACTCCTGTCCAAAATCCCTTTCTCCCACTCATGGGAGCACCGAATCAATGAGCTGGCTACACGGCTATCTCTCAGCAACAGCAGAACCACAGCGCACGCCAACAGGGCTGTTACCAGCAGGTGATTGCGGGCCCTGCCTCTTCTTGGTCTGCTCCTCTGCACCGGCTCGACCCTTCTACTTCTTCTTCCATCGCTGCATCCTCCTCTGGTGCCCCTCAGCCTCTTCAATTTCAAACTCCAGCAACCCTTCCAAGACACACCGCCGCTGCTGCTGCTCCTCCAACTCCTGCCATTGCCGTTTCTGCTGCTGCTGGTACTAGTTTTACTCCAGGCGGTGCTGCTGGGTCTTCTGAGCTAGGTGACAGAGCAGCAGGTCACTGGATTCGGCATGAGGATACGCATAAACTGGCTGATCTTCTCAGGTCCCTCCTTGGAAATCAAGTCAACGCCACTGCAGGAGCAGCTGCTACTAGACCTTCTCCCAGTGCTGCTCCTGTTTCTGCTTCTAGTGGTTCTGCTATGGCTCCTGCTCCATCTGCTACTTATGCAGCTGTAGTACCCTCATACTCTGTTGTAGCACCCCCGATGGCAGCGCAGCAGGGGAAAAGGCACAAAGGGCAGCACGCAGTGAACTTTGGGCAGGACCAGCAACGCCAGCAGCAGCAGCAGCAGCAGCAGCAACAACAACAACAACAACAAATACAGCTGCAGCAGCATCAGAAGTACCAGCAGCAGCATGGCCATTACCACCAGCATCACATGCTTCAGCAGCACATGCCTCAGCAGCAAGGACTCAGTCCTGCCATCGCTCTATCGCCTCAGCAGCAGGAACCCGGTTCTGATCCTTCATGGCAGAGAAGCATTTCCTGTCCGCCTGTCTCCCTACTGCTGCAGGCTCCCATTCAAGGCGTCAACCAGTTTGAAGCATTTTTCCGTGCCTCACACAGCCTACAGTATAGCCATCTACAGTCATGGCAAGGTGTGTTGGGTGGGCAGGGAGGGCAAGGTAGATCGCACATGGGAAATCCTAGTGATCATCTGCTGCATAACAGTGTGTGAGAGAGCAGTGGGACGGAGGTGGCTGAAGGGGGAATGAAAAGAAAGGTGATGGGGGGAGGGGACATCGAGGATGGTGGCTTTGAGGCAATCGTTCCCCACACCAGAATGCATGCAGGAGCACAGGGCTCTGAAATGGTGCATAGACAAACCAACCTGCCAGGAGGGGTGGGAACGGGAGCTGCAGGGGTAGCATCCACTGGTTTAGGTGTGGCAGCAACTGTAATGGGAGTTGCAGAAGCAGGTGCAGAAATCACCAGTGCAGGGGCGGCAGCAGCAGGGGAAGGATTTGCAGGGGTAGCTGCATCCTTACTTGGGTTGGAGCTAGCAGATCTCGAGGCGCTTCTACTGAACATGGAGGGCGAATTGGGCATGTTCAGCAGCATGGTCAGCGGGTTCAACCAGCATCCACATAGCAGCATGGTCAGTGGGTTCAGTCCGCATCCAAATAGCAGCATTTCTGCCAACCCTCAGCCCATTCCCAGTGGCATGCCCATCAGACAACCACCAGTGCAACTGCAACCATCCGTGGAACTGCCAGCATCTGTGAAAATGGCACCATCAATGGGTCCATCAATGGCACCATCAATGGGTCCATCAATGGCACCATCAATGGGTCCATCAATGGCACCATCAATGGGTCCATCAATGGCACCATCAATGGGTCCATCAATTGATCCATCAATGGGTCCATCAATGGCACCATCAATGGCACCATCTCTGGCACCATCAATGGCACCATCAATGGCACCATCAATGGCACCATCAATGGCACCATCAATGGCACCATCAATTGCACCATCAATTGCACCATCAATGGGCCCATCAATGGCACGAGAGTCTTCATTGGTCGCGCCGATGCACGATACGTCTGGAGGCTCATTTGCATCAGAAGAAGTGGTTGCTGCGGACATGGCCTCGTATCCCACTGCCCATAACATTGGCAGTGGTGACTTCATGTGGCCTAAGGGGGGAGGCGCTCTGTTACTGCCAAATTCATTCTTTCCGTCACCAGCAGTAGTACTGACGTCGGATCAAACATGAGCAGTTGGAGCAGCAGAATCAGGAGAAGCATCAACAGAAGCAGCTTCAGTAGGTTCAACCGCAGCAGCAACAGCAGGAGAAGTAGTAGCATCTGCAGGTGCAGAAGCAGCTACTACGAGCATGATTGACAATGTTTCAGGGGAGCCACAAAGTGGGAATCGTGCCAGTCGGGGCACTGGAAGGATGCTCTCTCCCAAAAGAAGTCGCGAAGAGGACTGCTGATTCGTTTCTTTTTGTTTTCCCCCCTTTTTTTTCAGTGTTTGTTTCACGGGTGGATATTTTTCAGTGGGAGCTGCCAGTGTGCATATGATGGTGACACCTGACTCAGGTTCAATGGATAGCGTCGACATATGATGTTAGGAGTAGTGTCCTTCATATTTGCAAAAAGCAACTCCCTTAACCCTAAGAAACCCAAAAGAAGCCATGGGAGTAGATGAAAAGAACCAAACAAAAAAACCTACTAAGGACGCACTTAACATTTTATTCATTTCTAACAGTAAAAACTACATTCAAGCTGTTAGTACTTTCCTATGCTCGTCACGACCCCATTCATTGCGTTCCCTTGCACTCGTATGTGACACAAATATTTCAATTATGTGGAAAGGCCTCTCCATATGGAGAGCCAAGAGAGCCTACGCAAAGGATGAACTACCGTTATATAGAGAATATATGCACATGCCTATTATTTGCGCATTTGGCGGTAAGGGGTTTATTGCACCAATGACAAGATCTACAGTTTGGTGTATCAATAATATGCCATTACGTTTTGCCCATAATGTTGTTAGATTACAGCCAAAGCAGCGATTTTTTCATTCTTATTATAAGGGAACCTGGTTCCATATCTGGGGAATGATGGAACACAAGTTTTAGCACTTGAGGGAGATGGAAGAAAAACAACCCTATCTTCAGATGTCAACTCTAATTGTTTCTCCTTGGCTAGAGATGCCACCACCACTCTATGTACACAACAGCCCTCAGATAGACAAAGAATCATGAAACACATGCTCTTAGGAAGACCCAGCAGTCCTCTTCACGAATCCTTTTGGGGGATAGCATCATCCTTTCACTGCCCTCGCCGCTGCACAATCCCAGATTTCCCCATTGTAATTCCCTCGACACATTGACAATCATGCCTGCAGCAGCTGCCTCTGTATCCCCTGCTGCTACCGCTCCGACCAATTTGTCTCCTGCTTCTGCTGCATTTTCTGCCCATGTCTGAGCCACTGACACACTCCCCGGAGCTGGGAAAAATGTTCCAGGCTGCAACAGAATGCCTTGGCCCTTTGACCGCATGCCCTCACTGCTACTGGTGGTGTTGGCAGTATGATAAGCAGTCATTACCGCATCAAGCCCGTCCTCTGGTGCAAATGAGCCTTCAGACCCACCATGCATTGTCGTAAACAGGGAAGGTCCCAGTGCTATGAATGGTGCCAGTTCCTCAGGCGGTTGGCTGATGGGAATACCACTGCCAGTGGGTTGGATGACGCCCACGGTGTTGCTATTGGGAAGCTGCTTGATAACCCTCACCATGCTGCTGCTGATCATGCCCAATTCTCCCTCCCCATTCAGTAAAAGGGCCTCCATATTTGGTAGCTCCTCCAGCCCATCGAGTGATGTCAGCAGGTCCACTCCTTCTCTCGCTGCTGCAGCTACCCCTGCTGCTGCAACTCCATCCCCTACTGCCATCACACCTGCACCAGTTGGTTTTGCCCCAGTTAATGTAACTTTCAAAGGAGCAGCTACCATCCCTGAACTAGCTGTTGCTACCCTTGCTGCTGCTACCCCTGCTGTTGCTACCCCTGCTGCTGCTACCCCTGCTGCTGCTACCCCTGCTGTTGCTACCCCTGCTGTTGCTACCCCTGCTGTTGCCACCCCTGCTGTTGCTACCCCTGCTGTTGTTACCCCTGCTGTTGCTACCCCTGCTGTTGCTACCCCTGCTGCTGCTATCCCTCCTGAAAATTTCACTTGTCTGTGATCCATTTCAGAGCCCTGTGCTCCTTCACACCCCCTGGTGGGTCGGAAAATCTTCTCCAAGCCACCGACCCTGCCATCCCCTCCTCCTCCTTTCCCCTCTCCTTCCTCCCCCCTTACAGCAACATCTAGCCCACCGTTCTCCCACACATTGGTATACAGCAGAGAATCACATGAGTCTCCCACACATAACCTCCCTTGCCCTTCCTGTCCATCCAACGCCCCTTACAACAACTTAGGGTGGTCATACTCTGGGCCGTGGGAGGCACGACGGGGTGTTTCAAGCTGGTTAACGTCTTGACTGGGGGTGTGAAGTGGTAGAGGGGCAGCAGGGCACGACACGCTTCTCTGGCACGGGGGAGCAGGACTGATTCTCTGCTGCTGAGGCACGTCCTGCTGAAGCATCTGATGCTGGTGGTATTGGCCATGCTGCTGCTGCTGCTGCTGCTGCTGCTGCTGCTGGCACTGTTGGTCCTGGTACTCAAATTTCACTGTGTGCTGTGCTTTGTGCCTTTTCCCCTGCTGGGCTCCTGTCGAGGGTGATACTGCCACATATGGGGATGCCACAACCGGATATAGGGGTACTTCAGCTACGTATGGGGTTGCTACAACAGGAGCGACAGTGAGACAAGTCCTGGTTGCAGCATCTGCGGAAGTGGCGACCTGATTTCCTAAGAGATATCTGAGAAGATCCGCCAGTAGCTGCATATCCTTCTGACGGATCCCTTCACCTGCTGCTCTGTTGCCCACCTCATCTGAGCCAGCACTACCAGTTGGGTGCTCCTCCCCTGTGCACATACCGACTTGCAGCGTCGGCCATACTCCGACAGGCTCCACCTTTGGTTCAACCTCAATGTGAGCATCGCTGGTGCCCATTGCAACAGCAGTCACATCCCTGCTGCGGTTGTGGAGTCCAGTAACGCTTCTCTGCCATGGCAGACCAGAACGAAGTTCTTGCTGCTGAAGCATCTGATGCTGGTGGTATTGGCCATGATGCTGCTGCTGCTGCTACTGCTGCTGCTGCTGCACCAGCCCTTGCTGCACTGCTGCATGGCTGATTCGCTGCTGATAGAGCAATAGCCCTTGCTGCACCAAACCTTGCTGCAGTGCTGCGCTGCTGCTTTGCTGCTGCTGGGCCAATAACCCTTGCCGCACTACTCCTTTACTGTGTTGCTGCTCCTGGAGAAATAACCCTGGATGCACTAGCTGACTGTCGCTGCCAGCACTGGGTAGGAGAAATGGGGCAGGAGAGAGACCAGAGTGCGAGCTGAACGGATAGGGGAGAGGGGAGGCGAGACCTAGATGTGCAGAGAGGTTACCAGCTCCCCTTGCTGCTCCCACGGCTGCTCCCACTGCTCCTCCTGTTCCCGCTACCTCCATCACTACTGGTGGTTCTGCGGCTCCTGCTGCTTCTCCTGTTGCCGCTACCACCAGAGCTATTGCTGCCTTTTCCTCCTCCGCCGACGTTTGAGTCGACCCTAGAATCACCGCTGTCGCTCGGCTCGCTGCACTGCTGCGCGGCATATCTACAGGCATCTCGCACGAGGAGTTCAGCAAGTGACTGACTAACTGGTGTCCTTTTGAGTTGTCTGGGGGTGAATCACCCCGGAAAGTCACGCCATGCACATTAACACCCTCAGGGAACTCATCGGCTGGTCCCAGGCCTCCCTTCCTATATGTAGTTCCACAAGCCCTTGCCACCTCACCACCTCCCACACCACCGGTACATCCTGCGTACAACTCATGCTGAAGCACCAAACGCCCTTCCCCTGCCATTCCTCTAACTCCCCTATCATGTCCTTGCTCATTATTCACCTGTTTTGAGCCACCAGCACCACGTGAGCCGCTCGCACCAGCTGAACCACTATCGCCACTTGAGCCGCTAGCACCACCTGTGCTCCCAGCCCCTCCAGTGTCACCTGGTAGCTTCTCTGCTCCTCTCCTTTTCTGCGCTAAGAGGCACGGATTCACAGCTTGTAAAGGCAGTCCACCTGAGCCAGTAGCACCACCTTCACTACCAGCCAAACCTATGCTCCCAGGCCCCCCAACGTCACCTGGATGCTGCTCTGCTCCGCTCCCTTTCTGCATTAAGAGCCACGGATTCACACCCAGTAGAGGCAGCCCTCCCTGCTGCTGTGCTGCCATCCCCTGCTGTGCTGCCATCCCCTGCTGTGCTGCCATCCCCTGCTGTGCTGCCATCCCCTGCTGTGCAGCCATCCTCTGCTGCGCTGCCATCCCCTACTGTGCTGCCATCCTCTGCTGTGCTGCCATCCCCTGCTGTGCCACCATCGCTTGCTCCTCAGCTTTCAGGGAGCTTCGCTTGAGCACCCGCACAACCACCCACAACGCTGTGTCGATCCTTTGACCAATGCCAGCTTGAAGCTCTGGGATGTTGCCTTCGGGGCTGCTGCTGCTGCTGCTGCCGGCCAAACCACCAGCTGCACCAACCATAACTCTGGTGTCTGGGTTGGTCGCTGAATCTGTTTTTCGAGAATTTTCAAAAAACAGATGAAGCTCTGGGCTGTTGGCTTCGGGGCTGCTGGTGCTGCTAGCCAAACCACCAGCTGCACTACCCGTACCCCTGGTGTATGGGTTGGTCGCTTCACCTTTTCTGCTGCTGTTTCTGTCTTTATCAGCACCACTTGCTGCATCAACACCAGCTGTGATGCTTTCATGCGTAGCAGGTGCGTATGCAGCAGCTGCTTCTGGATCCGATCTGGCTGATACAGTTACAGCAGGTGCCTTGTCTGTGGCAGCTGGTCCAGCTTCAGGCGCATCCTCTGTCAGCCGGTACTCATGCATCACCCAGTCAGTCTTGTCCCCTCCTGGCGCTCGCTCCCTGTTGGCCACAATTGCAAACACACAGACACACCCACACGCACACATGTACGCACGCACACGCACGCGCACGCGCGCGCGCGCACATACACACATACACACACACACACACACACACACACACACACACACACACCACCACCACCACCACCACCACCAACAACAACAACAACAACAAAACAAAAAACAAACAAACAAGAACAAACAAAGAAACAAACTATTTTCAAGATTGAGCTATACAAACAATCAGGAAATCTGAAAATCAAGCTCCAAACACAAACAAGAAATATCAAAACTCAAACCAACAACATAGCCCACGCAATATATTCAAAGATCCAGAGATACAATCCAAATACCAAAACGAGCATTCCAAAATAATCAGACAAACCGTCGACCCACCAAAGCCAACATCGTGTTTGAGACCGGGGAGAGGGGGGGAGGGAGAGGAGAGGAAGGGAGAAGCAAGCACTTAACTTACTTGTAAAAGACATGAGTCTTCTTGAATCCCAGCCTGACTGCCTGGTCCCCTTTGCCATCATTACCACTGCTGCTGCCTGATAGTTGCGCGTACACTGGCTTGTCCTTCCTTGTGGCCTTCCAGTACCCAGCAGTTGTGGCACGGTTGGATCGGGACCCTGATGGGTACTTGAGGTCACGGGATGCGAAGAAGAACCACTCGCCATCGCTAGCAAAAGGGCAAGTTGCTCTGGCTGGGAGTGGCACAGGGGGAGGAATGAGAGGATAAGAAGGAAATGTGAGAGAATAAGAGAGGAAGAACCGCTTAACGTCAGCAACATCTAGTATCAGTGGGGAAAAGGAAAGGAGTGCTTTCTTTGTTCTCGCAGCTATTGGCCATTCTCTTTGTCTTTCGCAGTGAGGGTGATGCGAGATTTCAGCCAACTGCCATTGTCAGCTATAGGGTTTGGGACTCTGGCTGTCAATATTAGGGGAGTGCAGATAGAAAGGGCGGAGGGAGAGAGAAGGGGGGGTGGGGGGGGGGGGGAGCGGGGGGAGAGGGGGAGAGGGAAGAAGAAACAAGAAGGCTCTCATATCAAGGAAAGGCAAAAATCCATATTATAAGTGAGGGTTGGTGTCCTAAACTGTTTGTCACTGAGCATGATAAGAATCTGTCAGCTCTCCTGTACCGATTCAGCTGCCACCTGCTTTGGAGTTTGTTGGTTTGGCTTCTTCTTTTTTCCCGGATCACGAGGGGTTAATGAAATAATTGTGGTTCTTGGCCTCTCCCATATCAGATGCTACTTCTGGAGCTTAGAAACCTGAATGAATGCCACCTGTTGTATCGGTGTTTGGTGGTCTGGACGATACTAAATAGGGCGAGGACAAAGGGAGAGGGGTAAATCAGATGTGCAATGCCCAGTTCCGATGCACGGTTCCTTGTTTACTGTTTGTTATATTGGTTTCTGCGTGAACCTCTTTCGACGACGCCGTTAACCTAAGAAGGTCCTATTTCTGAGACCAGCAAGTCCGATTTCTTTCTGCTGGCACCTGGGGAATGGGGAGAGGGGTGCAGGTGATTTTTGGGTGGAGGAATTGAGGCGGGGAGGAGGGTGGTAATGGGAGGCGGGGAAGTGGGGAAGGGAGGGGAGAGGGGGGGTGTAAATGTGTGTGTGTCAACCTAATATTGATAGAATCAGTCTGAACCATGCCTGGTTTTTTTCTCACGCTTGTTCTCCATGCTTCGCTGGGCGTCAGATTTGAGAAATGCTTGATGCAACACGCATCTGAAAAGATTCAGAGTCTGTTCAGAATAGCAGGTGCAGTACCGTGCAGGTGACCTGGTTGTGGGGAACTGGAACAGCTCTAGGCTGTTATAGTTACTGAAGGCTAAAGCTTGGAGAGTCTAAAATGACAAGGTAAACACAGTAGCATAAATTCTGTAAATTTCAGAAAGCAAGAATGGCATACAAGGGACGAAGGACTACTCTTATACACACTTCTATGACTATGGCGCCTTGAGAAGGTCGTTCAGGTCGCCATTAATCCTATCTCTGCTGTCACCAGCAAGGAACGGCTATGTACAAGCAATGATAACAATCCTATGCTGGATCCTAGCTGTTTATATAGAAATATGCAAAGTACAATCATGAGATGGATCTAGAAAGGTATTATCTGACTTGGTCTTCGACTTCATGATGATGGCACTTAGACCTTGTGGTGCTGGAACGTAGTTACAGCTGTATGGCGTGACTTGTTGCTCTGCTGTCGTGAAGATGCCCTTGTGCTTTCTTCTCTGCTGCTTTGCTGGTTGGGAATTCACGTGTGCTTTGAGAAATCCCGAAGCTCACATTTCAGGTTGAGATTTCCAACCTCGAATTTGACATTTCAGGTTGGAGTTTTGGCGAAGGTTACAAGTTCGCTAGTGAGCGAACTTTCCTGTGGCGAGTTCGCCTTCGTCCATGTCCATAGGAGCAGGTTCTTGCTGGTTGAATGTTGCTGAGGATGATGGCTGATGGGAGGGAGCAAAAGGGAGAAACGGGCTGCGAGGAAATTTTGCCTTGTATGCGAAATGAACAGCGTCATACCGTTCAGCGACACGTATCATTTCCTCGAGCGTAGTGCAGTCCCTTAGCTCGACCTCCATGCGGACGTTGGATTTCAGGCCATGCTTGAAGCGATCCATTTTTTCAGCAGTGGACAGGTCAGGTATCTCTTGTGCAACATCACGGAAGCGCGCCGCGTACTCCTGGACGGATTTAAGTTGCTTGAGGGCAGCCAAGCGGTCACGAGCTTTGAGTTCCGGGTTCACTGGTTGAAAAGCAGCTGTGAAGAGTTGCTTAAACTGCTCCCATGACTGAACAGAGGTGTGGATGGATTGCCACCAAGTGATCGCAGAACCTCGAAGAAGCGTTCCCGTGAATGATGCCCACTCAGCAGGTGCAACGTGGCTCAACAGCAAGTACTGCTCGACAAGGAATAGCCATCGACTCACGACTGGCTGAAACTTTCCTGGCGTGAAGAGATCTGGCATAGCGGGTCTAGCGCGCTGATTTCCATCTGAGGGTGCAGCAGTATTCACACTTGCTGCCACCGAACCGACTGCAGCTATACTGGCTCGAATTTCAGCTTGCAAGCTCTCTCGAAGTTCAGAAACGATTTGGGCCCGGTAGTTCTGCAAAAAATTAGCCCAATCCTCAGAGGACGGAGGTCCTAAGTCAGACGTCATGACGTAGTCCTAGCAGGAAGTCGAAATCTAGCTCGGATACCAAATGGAACAGCTCTAGGCTGTTAGAGTTTCTGAAGGCTAAAGCTTGGAGAGTCTAAAATGACAAGGTAAACTCAGTAGCATAAATTCTGTAAATTTCAGAAAGCAAGAATGGCATACAAGGGATGAAGGACTACTCTTATACACACTCCTATGACTATGGCGCCTTGAGAAGGTCGTTCAGGTCGCCATTAATCATATCTCTGCTGTCACCAGCAAGGAACGGCTATGTACAAGCAATGATAACAATCCTATGCTGGATCCTAGCTGTTTATATAGAAATATGCAAAGTACAATCATGAGATGGATCTAGAAAGGTATTATCTGACTTGGTCTTCGACTTCATGATGATGGCACTTAGATCTTGTGGTGCTGGAACGTAGTTACAGCTGTATGGCGTGACTTGTTGCTCTGCTGTCGTGAAGATGCCCTTGTGCTTTCTTCTCTGCTGCTTTGCTGGTTGGGAATTCACGTGTGCTTTGAGAAATCCCGAAGCGCACATTTCAGGTTGAGATTTCCAACCTCGAATTTGACATTTCAGGTTGGAGTTTTGGCAAAGGTTACAAGTTCGCTAGTGAGCGAACTTTCCTGTGGCGAGTTCGCCTTCGCCCTGTAACAGGAACGATGTGGGTCTATGTTTTAAGGCATACCTAGCAGTTCCCAAGGCTCGGACTTGTACAGATCCACGTCGCCGATCGCATTCCATGCGATGGGAAGGTTTCTACGCGCCGCCTGAGGTAGTAACACAGCAGCTCCTCGTCCGTCGGCCGAAACCGAAACCCTGGCGGGAAACTACTAGTTTGCTCAAGAATTATCATGATTGCTCGCGCTATCCGCACGCGGGACTTCCTTTTGCGGTAGCAGTTGCACCTGGACTCATGCTCGCCTCCAAAAAGGTGAGCGCTTGAACAATTGAAGAGCAAGTTAAACTTGAAGTTGGATAGTCAGGCAATTGGGTCACATTTACGACCTAAAACGAGCATTGCGGAGTTGAGCTTTTTTGCAAACCTTTTCGCCTCACTTGGGCTATTACTGCTGTATAACTGCTAATTCTGGCGGTTCCATCTTGCTGACTTTTTCTCTCAGACATTCGATCTCAAAAAGTCTTGCTTTCAGCCACTGGGAAGTGATTGTCCAGCAGGAACCAGACCAGAATGCTTCGAACAGAATGCAAGTGCTCGCTGTCAGAAAGAGATACACCTAATTTCTTGTTGGGGGCTGAACATGCTAAACCCACAGTTACTCCAGCTTGGTGAGCCACAGTCGCAGATATGTGAGCGAGCCCTCCAGGTGCCAAGTGGCACTTTACTAGTGGTGCTAGAGAAGAAGTCATACTCGAATCCAACAAAACATTATAAGTGTGATTATTTTTGTATAGTACAAGAGTGCATAGTGGCAGTCGGCTCTTGCGCTCTGTTCGGTTCAGTTTAGTCTCCCTACAAAATCTGGGCAGAGATTAACCGTTATCACGTGTACAACCCAACTGCACGTTTGGGTCATTGGTGGTGGTGAGGCAGTTTTGTTGTCAGGCATGTACCAACCGAACGCTGCTCGTTAGAGTGGGCAGAGAAGACGAAAGAACCCAACGGGTGGGAAGATGTGATGGGCGGTGAACCCACCCCAGTGGGCAGAGAACTGGGTGAGAACCCCAATTGTGCCCCAAAAACGATGAACACTATTGAAGTGGTCCTTGATTGCACAGCACCAAGCAAGCCTAGCCCCGCCCCGTATTCTCCCAATGGTTCTGTACTCTGCGGGGCAGGATGCCTTGCAACCAAATTGAAAAGGCTGTTAGCTCTCCGCTCACCTCGGGTGGTGCTGCTGCTGTTGGTCGGTTGTGGAACGTATCGTTTACTTAAAAGCAACTAGTTGCCAAAAACCCCTCAAAGTAATTTCAGCAATACATTCGCAAATAGGCTAGTATGGTATATTTTTTGGTAAGCTGTTGTTAAAGAACGTAAGCTCTAGTTTTTGCCTCTCAACAAAGTGCTAATCACTCCCACCCCAAACACCCTAGAAACGCATCAATATTATCTGCAATATTTCGCTCATATGTTTCTCTAATTATTTTAGCCAATTATTGTCTGTACAGCAGTTTAGGTAAGCCGTTTGGTAAAGGTTAAGGTGAAGGTTATGGGGAAACCTCCTTGGTATACCCCGGCTGTCGGTGGTAACCCGCCTACCCATTTGTTTACGCGCCTCGCTGGGTAACGAGGTTGTTGTATCCACTCCCAGATGAGCACCTGTATAACCCCCTTCTAGGTGGGCTGTTTGGACGGATTACCCATATTTTTGCGCAATAAAGGTGACGGTCAAGTAAAAAGGGCCTTTCGAGAATCAGGGCGCGTTTCTATCCCGTGTCAGACCGAAGCCAGACACGAAGTTGAGGTTGGGAAGACCCAAAGGGACTCGGAATGCTGGCAAATTTAGGTTCGGAAGACACAAACCGAGTCACTTTGTGTCTTCCGAAGCTTCGACCTGATGTCTGACACGAGATAGAAACGCACCCTCAGCCCTCCAAACAGGGTGGCCTTTCAGACAACTGTAAACTCCAGACAGCGACGAGTGTGTCGGTGTTAGGGATGCGCAAAGGGCGAACACGAACATGTTCGTCTTCGCCCCTTGTCGAACACCCTCTTTTGCCGAACCGAACACTGTTCGGTTCGGCGAACAGTTTAGGAAAAAACAGGTGTTCGCTGTTCGCCTGTGGAGGCGTGTTCGGGCGAACCTCGAACACGTTCGTGTTCGCCACGGGGCATTCTGCAGCAGCGCCACGAACACGAACGTGTTCGGGCGAACATCGAACACGTTCGGGCGAACGATTTAAGCTGAAAAACAAAACCTGTTCGGTTCGCCTCGAACGCGAAACTTGGACGTGTACAGTGCACAGTTTTCACGACCGCGTCTCGTTTGGTGGGTGAGATGGTTGTGCACGACGGCAATGGTGTACGCGCTGTGCATAAAATATTAGTTCGCTAGGTCGACTGACCATAGAATTTGCTAAAAGTGACTTACAGTTTTGATATCTCTAGTAAAATGTTCATGTATTGTGCTCCAATCTTTTTTATACAAGCCTTACTATACAGGACATTGCAACGTAACCACATTCGTAACTGATGTTTGTGACTGTTTTACATGGTGCTCCGTCTTCGGCATGCCAACAGGGGCTTGATACACACGTGAAGTATGTCTACATCGACAAGAAGCATGCATCCATGTGTTAGGTGCACCGATGCGATGAGATGTTGCCATTATATCCCTGCCAAATAGCCCATAACACCATTCCTCTCGGCATCCATCTACGCTTGATACATCACACATATAATCGTAGAGGCCGACCCAAACGTCATTCTCGTCCACCGCATCACTCTTGTAAGCTGATGCTTATGGCTATTAGACCAGCACATAGAAAAAATCCATGAACAGCAATGCCCCATGTATCTACATTGGATGTGGGTGTGGCACGAACATGATGCTGTAAGATTTGGGCCACGAGCGCTATTTTAATTGTAAGAACTAATCAAAAAAATTGCAGCACATTGAGCGGCATTAACAGGGATTTTGAGAGCCACTGTCACACAAGATCCTGGTGAGTGTTACGAAAGAGGGGAAGGAAAGAGAGGATTGGAGAGTGCAGAGAAGAGAGGAAAAGAGAGGAGATGAGGAGAGAGAAGAGAGGAGAGGAGAGGAGAGGATAGGAGAAGAGAGGAGAGGAGAGGCAAGGAGAGGAGGGGACAGAAGAGGGGAGAGGAAGGGAGGGAAGGGGGGAGAGGAGAGGAGAGGAGAGGAGAGGAGAGGAAAGGGGAGGAGAGGAGAGGAGAGGAGAGCATGGGTGGGGAGAGAGGACTCTGCAGCAGCGTCACAGTAATGGCTTGATATTGTGCGGTTATGATGAGAGGCGGGGCGACGAGGGTATGGGTGGGGAGAGAGGTCCCCTGGGCGACAGCAGCGGCACTGAGATGGCTTGACGCCACCTTGAGGTGACCTGGTGGGATGGGAGGGGGAAGAGGAGAGAGGGAGAGAGTGAGAAAAGGGAGAGAGTGAGAAAAGGGAGAGAGTGAGCGAGAGTGAGGTGCGGGGGAAAGGGAGAGGAGGTGGTCAAGAGTCAAGAGCGGCACTGAGATGGCTTGACGCCACCTGGAGGTGACCTGGGGGGAGATGAGAAGATGAGACAGTGAGGGAATAGTGCATGGGTGGGGCAGGAGGAGCGCAGTATGGGAAGGGGATCACAGAGAGAAGGGATGGGGGTTGGAGGGTGGAGTGAGAAATGCAGGCGGGAGATCACATGTGTTGTGAAAGTGTTACAATCGCGCTAAGGCAACAGTGAGTGTGACATATTGTATGGTAACCCGGTTACCTTGAGAAGAGCAAGTGATGCGCAAGTGGCAGTAGTGGCTGGTAACAGGGTTACCTTGAAGAGAGTGAGAATGCCAAGGGTGATCACACATGCTGCCACCACCACTGCTGCGAATAGACTCAGCTCCCTACCCTCCTGTGAGTGCACACATTCACACACACGCACACATGCGCGCGCGCACACACACACATACACACACTCACATGCACACATACACACACACACACACATGCACACACGTGCACACTTACACACACACACACACATATGCACACACGTGCACACCTACACACACACACACACACACACACATGCACACACAGTTGCACTCCCACCCCCCCTCCCCCCTCACACACACAAATGGGCAGAAAGAGTGACAGGCACAAGTTGCATGAGCATCGACTTGAAACCAAACGAACAAAATCGATGACGACGATGATAATGGGCTCTGTACACAACACCTGCCCTTTCCAACCCTGCCCACCCCTTTCCACCCCCCTCCACCCCTTCTCCACCCCTCTACACACCTCATAACTGTCGCCAATGACGATGAGGAAGAAGAGGAAGAGCATGGAGGCGAGGGTGGCACAGATGGTGGCGTGTCCCCTCTCCCAACCCCCACACCTTTCACCCCTCTCCACCGTTCTACACACCTCATCACTGTCGCCAACGACGATGAGGAAGAAGAGGAAGACCATGGAGGCGAGGGTGGCACAGATGGTTGTTACTGGTCACCCCGTGCCTCATGATCAACCATACCCACACTGTACCCCACCACCTCTCTCCACCCCTTCCCACCACTTTCCAACCCTCTGCACCGTTCTACACACCTCGTCACTGTCTCCTATGACAATGAGGAAGAAGAGGAAGACCATGGCTGCGAGGGTGGCACAGATGGTGGCCATTTCGTAACTGTGAATCATCCGTACAGCACTATACCCCACTCCACCCCTTCTCACCCCTCTCCACCACTTCCCACCCCTCCACACACCTCGTCACTGTCGCCGATGACAATGAGGAAGAAGAGGAAGACCATGGAGGCGAGGGTGGCACAGATGGTGCAGAATTCGGCGTAAAAGGAGATGGACGCATACGAACACAGGCGCTCCCAAGTTAGGTCTAGCCCTGTCATTGGACAGGAACAGCGGGGAAAATGGGGAAAAGGAACGAATGGGGAAGGGGCAAAGGGGAAGGGGCAAAGGGTAAGGGGCAAAGGGGAAGGGGGGGGAGGGGGACAGCGGAAGGGTGATTGTGCGAAAAGGAAGACCATGGAGGCGAGGGTGGGCCGGATGGTGCAGAATTCAGCATAAAAGCGAGCACAGGCGCGCGCTCCCATGTGAGGTCAAGCCCTGTCGTTGGAGGGGAACAGCGGGGAAAAGGGGGAAAAGGAACGAACGGGGAAGGGGCAAAGGTGCAAAAGAGGGGGGGGGGGGGGGGGGGGGGGGGGGGGGGGGGGGGTGATTGAGCGAAGAGGAAGACCATGGAGGCGAGGGTGGCGCAGATGGTGCAGAATTCAGCGTTGAAGGAAATTGACGCATATGAGCAAGGGGGAATAAACAGGGGGGGAGGGGAAAGGTAAGGAGGATGGGGGATAAACGGCGGGAAAGGCGTTACTGATAAGGGAGCAATGAGGAACGGGGAAATGCGGAAAAACTGATAAGTGGAGGGCGGGGGAGGAAAAAGGGGGGGTGGGGGGAGGGGTGGAGAAGGGGAGAGTGGGGGAGAGGGTGGGGAAGGGGGTGGGCGGGCGGATGGGGGTGGGGGGGGGGCGTGGGCGGATGGGGGGAACGTCGGAGAGGAGGAAAAGAGCAGGGAAAAATGGGGGAAGCATGGGGAAGATGAGAGAAAGGGGGTACTGTTGCGCGACTCACTCTCGTGAATGCGGAGGCGGTACGGCGAGCGGCACACTTCGCACGTGAGCGCGTCGTGATCGCAGCCGTCCATTCGCCGCCGCTCGATCCACTGCTGGAGGCACCGCAGATGCACGCGCCCCATCGTGCCCCCGCACGCGCACGGCTTCACCATCCGCGCCCCCCCCGTCTCCGCCCGTCGCGCTTCCGCTCCACGCGCCTCCGCCCCGCGCGCCTTCTCGCCCCCCTCCGCCGCCGCCGTCTCCCCTCTCGGAAATTCGTCAAGGCTCTCCGGCGCTCCCCGCTCGCCCCTTGCCCCCGCACCCCCCTCCGCCCCCGCCCCCGCCCCCGCCCCGCCAGTGTTGATTCTAAGCCCGAGATCTTCTGGGGATAGGTACTCTTCTTCGCGGCAAAACCGGCACTCAACTAAAAGCCGGTCGTCAACTAAAAGCCGGTCGGAACTGCAACTGTGTCCGAGCCGACCCTCCTCCAACAGGGACTCTGCCAGAGCCGCATCGCCGAGCCTGTCTGTACTACCGAGACGGGAGGCTCGGAACCCCTGGATGTCCTCCGAAGAAGGATCGCTGGCTTGTCCACTTTGCCGAGCCTCAGGCTCGGAGATGCGAGATTCTAGCGTGTCGCTACTAGTAGCTAAGTGAACATCAGCAGACGAGTCCCTAGTAGTGTTCCTAACACTATCCCTAACAGTCTCGCTATTCGTTACCCCAGCTTCAGATCTACTTATTATCGGAGCAGACAATAACGATGCTTCATCTCGCGAACTGATGCGAGCCAAAAGATAAGTTGGCTCGACTGCCGTCGCCGTCGGTGCGGCTGTATCGGCTGTCGCTTCGGATGCTGTAGCAATTGGTACTGCTGCGAAAACCGACGCGTGATGTGGGTCTGACATGGCAGAAAGAAAAATCGCAGCCGAAAGAGCGACGAGGTAACAAGGAGGACGACGGGAGCAAACAAAACAGGACCAAGGAGACCTCAACGCGGCATCGAATGGGCTTCTATAGGTGACATTACTACTAGAATCATCGCTGCACCATAAAAACGGAGGCCCTGCTCAGACGATGAGGGAAATGTGGTTACAAGCCGAGATTAGGTAATGACTAGGTGTGGGTTCGGGTTGTGAACGAGAAAGCACGAGAACATCGAGGAGGTGGGAGGGAAGGTTGGGAAGGCGGTGCGGGCGAAGGAGTGCACTGTGCTTCCACTGGCTGGAAGGTAACGAAAAGGTAGCTGGCCTGGCTTTGCTGGTGGTGGTGAGGCGTGGAAGGTAACGAAAAGGTGGAGAACCAGCACCACAAGATTTTTCTTAAAGCGAAGTACAAGTAAGTATTCTGCCTAACCCACATCACTTCCGAACCAGCGAGGTCTGGAGAGATGGGGGTGAGGTGAGCCATCACACCACGACGACATGCGCGCTATAGCGACGCGGCAAGTAAGGTGGCGACGTTTGTCGAATGCTGGGAAAAACGGATGGGAAAAGATCAATTAAGGGCCGAACAATAGCAGGGAGGTGACCTAATTAGGGCCGGGTTGATCCCAACCGTCGGATATACCCCGGGGCTGCCAAAGTGGTTGGGCCGAGAATCCGAACCAAAATAAAAGGAAATTACGTATTGCTGAACTTTTTTGGTTCAATTATTTTTTCATGGTTATGAACGCCGCCTAATACGAAGCTTGCCTCGCATTCCTCTTCAAGTAGGTTTCGTCATGTTTATGTTTTTTTTCTAAAACAAATACATCACTTAGATGACATAAATATTAAAACCCGTTCGGAAATGGATGCGACTCGGGAGGCATCAACCCTAAACACCAGGCAGGTTCCCGTGTTTAGGGTTGATCCATCCCGAAAACGCGTCCAGGTTGCCTATTGGTTTTAGTTTTTTCTTGGCTGCCCTAACATTTCCCGGTAGCGTCGGTACCGCCGGTAGCGCTACCTGGCTCGCTAAACGACGCTACCGGATGAAAAAAATGTTTCATTTACGATAGCCTAGGAATATTGAGGTGTGAGCGAAAATGCAAGCCATGACGAACCTCTCTGTTAATTCCCCCTCGCGAAGCGGTTTGGTCAGTTCTCGGCCCTCTCGGCCGCTGGTCGATCACCGCTCTGGCACTGTACGGCCACTCTTTGATCATTTCCCAAAACGGATTTAGTTTGTTCAGGTTCGATGGCTCCGAACCTCGCATTACAAGAACAGATTCTTTCTCCAACTAACAATCTTAGACAATTACAAATCAACCAGAGAGTTTAGGTAGGGAGTTTGAAGTTTAGCTCATAAGTACTACGGGAATACAAAGCGCTTTCATAAATATGTGATCTTAAGCTAGTTGAAACAGAAACAGGGGGTCAAAAAAAGAGGTGAACGCAAGGAAAACTAAGGAATATGCACACAAGATGAAACAAGCACCTAGTACTGGACTTGGTCACAGAAACATCGGCACACATGTACCCTTCACCCCAAGATCTGTTTCAGCATGTTGAGAATATCAGGCTGCGAGTTCTCCCCAACATTTCCCTCCTCTCCCACCGCAATCTCCTTCACTGCACTCAAACCACCCGAACCATCCTCAATCTCCTCCGCAACAAAGCTCCTTCGCTTGGACAAGGGCCGAACCACCACACCCTCCATTGACAAATGGCTTGCCTCCATGGAACTCCCATCAGCAGCAGCACCTGCTTCCATCATTCTCAGCCCCTCAAACTCCCCCTCCCCTCGACTTCGCTTGGGAGACCGAACCTGCTTCCCTCCTTGTCCTCCATGCTTCTCCTGCCCTTGTCCCTGCTGGTGCTTCTGCTGCTGCTGCTGCTGCTGCTGCTGCTGCTGTGCCTTGGTCGACCATAATGGTGGCTGAAACTGCCTACTGATTTGTCCTGCACCACCATCCTTCCCTTCACTGCACACTTGCACCGAGCATGCTTCCGACCCTGCTGGGCCCGAGCCTGAGTCACTAGGCTGGGCAACTGCTGAGCGTAGAAGCAGCTCGGTGAGCTCTGACATCATCTCGGGCGGTAAAAGAGGAGAGGAGAGCATGGAAAAACGGTCTGATGCAATCGCTGCTGCAGCAGTAGCGGATAGATGATGCTGCTGCTGCTGCTGCTGCTGCTGCTGCCCCTGTTGCTGCTGCTGTAGCAGGCTCTGCTGATGTGGGAGCTGGGGTGCTGCAAGGTCTACCTCAGCAGTACCATTGCCAGCGGAAAAACGGACTGCCACTACATCTCCACGGCCTGCCTCTGCAGGAGCAAATGACTGAGCAGCAGGAGCAGCAGCAGGGCCGGCCACTTCCCCTACGAATTCACCATCGCTTGCAGAGGCAGTGGGGAGGGTGTGAGTGGTGTTAGTGCACGGGGAACTCAGCTCACTGCCACTCTCACTGCCGCTGCCACTGGCCTGCGCGACGCACTCGCTCTCTCGAAACCGGCCTCTCGAATCAGCCTGCGAAGCAGGGCCAGTGGCACCAGTAGCACCAGCACCGACACCAGCATTAGCACAAGCACCAGCAGCAGCGGCAGCAGCGGCACCACCAGGATTACCAGCAGCAGCAGCATCACCCGCAGCAGCAGCCACAACGGCAGCCGTCCAGGGGTTGGCAGTCCCACCATCAGCCCCTGTAGGAGCGGGAGTGCCGAACCTGAACGGGCTGTCGAAAAAAGACAAGTGCCCGCTGCCATTGCCAAACGCTGAAAAACCACTGTATCCCCCAAGGTTACCAATTCCGAAATTACCACCTCCAACACCAGGGCCCATGGCGGAAAAAGGTGAGGGGTTACCAGCAGCAGAACTTGTATCAGCAACCGCAGCCACAGCATTACCAGCAGCAACAGCGATATCACCAGCAGCAGAAGCAGCACCGGCGGGAGCACCACCAGCGGCAGCAGCAGCGCTGGCAGGAGCAACAGCAACGGCAGCCGCAGCAGCAGCATCCGAAGCAGCCCACCAGCCAGTAGCAGTGAGGTCCATAGGCGTCATTAGAGTTTCAAGTCCGAGAAGATCCCGAGGCATGCCAGGAGTCGTCAGTGTGGAGGACGGGGTTGGCAGCTGTGGCACAGCCAGAAACGGGTCAGGGAGGGGAATGGTTGCTGCGGGTGGGGTTTCAAGGCCTGGGGTCAGAGCAGGAGAGATTGTGGGCTGCTGTTGCTCCTGCTGGATTTGTTGATGCGGCTGCTGCAGGCGCTGGCTTGAAGGGCTCTGTGGGGAAATCAGGTCCTCCAGAGGCTCAATCTCGGCAGCGTTTGACCGCTGCAGGCGGCGTAGCATCGGTCTCGCCTGCTGCTCATGTTGCTGGACCTGGTTCTGCTGCTTCTCAGACGCTTCCCCAGCAGCAGCCTGAGCGTCCGCTCTCTCTTCTCCATGCGTCTCTTGAGTCTCCTGAGCCCCCTCACACCGCCCTGTCCCTTGTGCATCCTCGCTCTGCTGCATCTGCTGTTCCTGGCAGGCGGGAAAAACACTTGTCATGGCTGCCGGGTCTGTCTGCCAGGAGAGTAAACTCGCAGGCCCATTCGTGTCTCTCTGTCCTGGTACATATTCGGGAAGAAGCTTCGAAAATGCCTCTGATGATTCGATTCCTCCACCTCCCTCCCTGCTTTCCTGCCAGATTTCCTGCCCGGTTTTCTGCCCCTGTTTCTGCCCGCTTCCCTCCGTATCTGTGCTGCGGTGGGTCCCCGCAACCTGCCCCTGGCTCTCCTCTTCCCCTTCGCCTGCGTCCTCCATCACAGCGGATTGTGCCAAGCTTTGCGCTCTTGCCAGTGTTGAAATGCGTCCGTCAAGATTCGAACCCAGGCCTGCAGATATGTCAGACGGGCAAGAATTGCCCCTTGGGATTGCTGGCGAGTTGAACCGCGTCAGGCTCAACAGTCTCGAATTTGACGGGTTCGCCAAAGTTTCCGAACCTGTAGGTCCCGAACCTCCTCCAAATTGATTCGTGAGACCAGAAATGGCTTTCAAAGCGCTTCCTGATTGGTTAGAGACATCTTCGATAGCTACAGTGATTGCCCTGTCAATTCCGCGATGCCCTTTCTTGAGAGCTTGCGCCGCTGCGCTCTGAAGCATGGGCAGGGGCGCGGATAGAGACGACCGGGCAGAAAAAAGTTTCCGAAGGCTGTTGAGAGCTGAACCAGGCGCAGGCCCGAGGGATCCGACTGGGGTAATTCCGCTTCCGCCTGCACCAGAATTGGCGGAAGCAACGGTGGAAGCAGCGACGGATGTAGAGGCGGAAGCTGCTGCGGCAACAGCAGAGGTTGTGCTCGTGCTCGCGGGAGGTTGGCGCGGACTGTTGGGAAAGTGAACCTGTGGAAGCGGTAAACGCGGGGAAACGAGTGGAGACTGCGGAACGGAGCCCATCCTCCCCGTCTCCGCGCTTAGCCCAGTGCTTAACGGGAAGCTTCCGCTTCCGCCGCTGCCGCCAGAGTCCAAAATCATCCGCTGCTGCTCTGACTCTTCCTCTAGCTCCGCTTTTCCCACTTTCTCCGCTTTTCCCGCCGCTTTTTCCGCATGCGCTTGGAGCGCGTGACCCAATCCCCCAGGAGCTGTAAGGCGCCCCCCGCTGCTTCCGCTGCGCTGCCCAGGCTGCGCCTGCTGCGGAAGCGCCCCGCGCGTGTACACGCGCACGACCACCCACTGCGACAGAGTCATTCCCGACGGGCCGCTTGCGCTCTGCCAGCCCGACGCGGACGGGGACGGCGGCGCGGCGATGGTGACGTCAGCGGTGCCGGCGGAACTGCTAGCCGGCAGCATTAGGCTGGCGATGTCGTCGGAGCTGTCGGGTAGGCGGTACTCCTGCATCACCCAGTCCGTCTTCTCGCCGGCTGGCGCACGCCCGCTGTGAAGAAAATTGGAATGGGGGAATTGGGGAAAGGGGGACGGAGATGAACGACAGGAAAAGAGAATCTAAGAATGTTTACTCTTGTCGCATAGTGAAAGCAAGAGACATTACGACTGGATAAGAACTCTCAAACGACATGCGACGCTACTACCAGCTAAACTTCGCGTCTTTCTCCACGAAACCCTAATCAAATTGGAAGGCAGGGGGGGAAGGGTTTGAACAAAACCAAACTTCCGAAATTTGAACAAAACGAGCTTCAAATAAAAAGCGCATCATCAACCCCGTTACACGACGAACGCGAGTCGTCCTTACCGGTAAAACACGAGCGTCTTTTTGAAGCCAATCACCGTCGTCGCGCCCGAACCTCCTCCTCCACCTCCACCGCCATTGCTGGAGCCCCCTCCTCCTCCTCCACGATTCGCGGCGAACACGGGCCGGTCTTTCCCAGTCGCCTTCCAATAACCCGCAGGCGTGGCGCGATTCGACCGCAGTCCGGACGGATATTTCCGGTCGCGCGGCGTGAAAAAGAACCACTCGTCGTTTCCCATTAGGGGGCTCGAAGCGCGCGAGGGGAGATCCCAAGGTTCGAATTTGTACAAGTCGATGTCGCCCATCACATTGAAGCTTATGCGACGGTTGTCCACGCGTCGCCGAAGGTAGTAACATAGAAGCTCCTCGTCCGTCGGGTGGAAGCGAAACCCGGGTGGTAACATGCTGTCGTCGTCGTCGTCGTCGTCATCTGTCGCAGTCGCAGGTGTCGCCTCAGTCGCTGCGGAAGGAGGCGGCGCGACGTCCGACAGAAGTGGCGGGGGTTGCGGCGATTCGAGCGGCTGTTGCTCCCAGTCGGGCGCAGGTGGAAATATTCCCAGTCTGGCTGGCACCATGGGAAGAGTTAGAGTCGCCAGGTTGACAGGCTTCGCTCCGTCGCGAAGGGTGGAAGAATTAAACGCAATTTTGCAGTTTCTTTTTGCTTTTCGTCTCTTCGTCTCCCGAGATTATTGCGACGGTGCGTTCAGTCTCCGTAATATTGTTAATAGTTGGCCTGCCCTGTGATCAGTTGACGCCGACGGCAGCAATTCGAGGTTTTCAACGTGAGAATATTAAATGACGGCTTTATACGGCTGGGAAGGGCGCTGAGGGAGCACGTGGCGCGATTGGCACGTGTCGGGGGTAATCTCCTTCGAGTTTCCGAATGTTGCGTGCGATTAAAGCAAGACCGCGAGGTAGGTGGGAGGCCGGTGAGAGATTTTGGAAATCGTGGGGAAAGAGTGGGACCCGCACTGCGGAGAGGAGCGGCGACTATTCGATGAGTCGTGTAGTGCAGTATGTAGCAACACCCCGCGGTGAAAGATTGCGTGTGTCCTAGTGAGAAACTTCAAGCGTCGGTCACGGCGTTTCTTATCCAGTCTGGAGCCAGTTGGCCAACCGTGTCTTGCGCAAATCGCGATTGTGTGGGTGGGTGCTTCTGGGAGCAGCGGCTGTTCTGACTTGCACTTAGCTGTGCTGGAAGGAAAAGTACTCAAGTCCATCCTTCTGAACAATCACTGTTTAGGGAGGTGACTGAAGCACGCAAAGCCGAACTCTCAGAGTGAGCGGGGAGCCTGCGAGCGACTCTCACAGGCCGCAGCAGCGTCGGTCGGCTGATGGGATGGAGAGAGTGAGCCGCGGGACAGGGGCCCACTCACTCGCATCACAGGTGGCGGCAGGACGGGGGATGCTGAGGAGACAGGAAACGGGAAGGCGATGAGAAGGTGGATGGAGGCTCCCCTGAAGGGAGGGCAGCAGCAGCAAGCAGAAGTGACAACGAGATGAGAAGTGGAGATGAAAGTAGGAGAAGTATTGTTTTTTAATACCACCCTCCACAACCCAGCCACAGTCAGAAAACCTCCATCAAGCAGGTTCGAAATTTTAAAAAAGGTTCTGTGTCAGTCGGCCTTCATACGAATCATGACTGAAGTTGCGGAGTTCAATTAGCTAAACAAACAATCGCAATTTCTGACAAGCTGTGTTTGATAGCCAGGCGGGCAGGGAATCTCGGAACTGTGGACTGCTAAAACTGGACCAGCCGATCATCCGGCACACGAAGCTATCAGGTGGAAGGCCAGGGAGGGCGCGAAGGGTGGACGTTGAAAGGGGAAGATTTTGATGGGGGATCGCCAGGCAGGTTCATCTCAGCTCGTGTCCGTAGGGTTGACATATCAGGTGAGAGCGTGTCAACCCGAAGCGCATTCAAATTAGAGTGTCAAGCTTTGTAGCGGAAGTGTCAAGTCGAAGCGCAGGTACGAACATCAGCGACGCAATTTCATTGGTTTGAGAATTTGTCATGGCTAGATCTGCTAGGCAACGAACAATTCAAAAGACATATTGTGTGCTGATTGGGCAGCATCTGGTCGTGAGATAGGCACCTGCGACAATCTTCTCTCGTTTGTAGGTTTGTCTGTGCCAATTTCAAAAGTGTCCGACGATTTGTATTGGCTGGCAGCCTGCAATTTCTTGACACTCTGCCAACAATGTTGGCAGAGTGTCAAAATGCCAAGTTGACGCTGCCCACTTTGACATGTCATCCCTACGGACACGACCTCATCACATGGGAGAAGGGGGAGGGCAAGGGTGGGGGAGGAACGTTTCCGCATCTTGGCACTTCTGCCCAGCCGATGCCAGTTGGGGCTGCGATGGGGGGGAGGATGAGCGGAGACGAGGTTGGGATTGGGTTGCAGGTGCTGACAGAACGAAAGAGCAGCCAATAGAGACGGAACGACGGGAGCGGAGAACACTCTTCCATACCGACAAATGCCTCAGCATCAGTCAACATTTTTCAGCCGCCCAGGAGGATGGCAAGCAACGTCAGCCACCCTCAGTGAAGCACCCGTGCAAAGACGATGACGTTGCGGTTTTGAAGGCCGTCGCCAATCGCAACTTTCGGACAAGACAGTATTGGGCAGACAAATACACTCAATTCGTTCCTATTTAATATTACTTGCTCTATTTCCCCAGCAGTTCAATTATCCAAGACCTTATAAGCGCGAAAGAATGTGTTGTTCTATCTGTACAGTTTAGCAATTCTGTACGGACAACTTCCAATCACTGCCCGTGACATGCAATTATGATGTCAGCATTGGGCAAGATCGCTCCTCGCAACTTCCACTCACCTCGACCCCTCGCAACGATCAGTTTCTCGAACCACGTGCGCTTGCAACACGACTTGCAGTCGCTTGCACTGTGGGAGCAAGGGCGGGTCCGAAGTGAATTCGACATCCGTCGACATCCAATGTCGGTGCTAGCGTGTCCGAAGTGAAGCGTCGAATGGATGTCGATGGATGTCGGTAAATGTCAACCCTCGGATCGAGAGTTCCAACCGTCAGGATTTACCGACATCGGATGTCAACGGATGTCGACTTCACTTCGGACCCGCCCTAAATCCTGACGGTTGGAACTCTCGATCCGAGGGTTAACATTACCGACATCCATCGACATCTATTCGACGCTTCACTTCGGACACGCTCTAACGCACCAACAGCCTCCACAAAGCTTGCCATCGATAACGACATGGATCCGATATCAGCTCGAACACAATATGCTGCAAACTGAATGATGGCGTGTACAGATCTCTTAGTGTATAACTTCCATATAGAACTTCCACACATGCAGAACAGCAGCACATGTAAAGCAATTTTGCCGGACGAGAATACTACAATGATGTGCAAAAAAACTATTCACCCCACTTTATTCAAAAATGTTGAACAAAATGGGTATATACTGCCCCCAATGTACAGCCTATAAGATGCCCCACTTTAGTTCCAACGTAGTACATAGGCGAGACAAGCAAGTGGCTGCACTCAGTGGGTATTCCGAAACTGATGGGGTGAAGTGGCAGAAATGGGGAAAGAAAGGCAGGCATGAAACAAGGGAGAAGCAGGGAAGCAAAAAAAAGAAAAATGAAAGAGAGAGGGGAACAGAACCAGGGCAGCAGACGATGAAGGGAAAGAGACGGGAAGAAGCGGTGCACGAGACGCAATAGAGAAGATAAGGCTATATGCATCAACATCCGTGCAATCCCATGCCATTCTTTACCACACCAACTCAACAGCAATCATTTCGTCCCATAGTCATTGCTGATGTCACCACTAGCCATCACACCCCTCTTCCCCCCCCTCCCCTTTGAACACCTTTCTAATGATGCTGCCACTTCCCCCTCCCCTGTCTCCTCTGCTCACCTGCAATCATCTCGTCCACTTAGGGCGTGTGACATTTTTCAAACAGCAAAAACGTTCGGACGTTGTGTGACGTACGTCCAGACGTTTGCGAAGCTGGCGACATCGCACAGGTTTTCTGCGACGCAAACGACGTCGTTCAATTTTTGACGAGCTACCTGGCGAGTTTAAACGACCATAGTAACCACAAAATCGTCCGGACAGTTGGCCGTCCGGACGAAGCAAATAGAAAATGTTACACGCCCTTAGTCACTGCTGATGTCACCGCTCGCCATCGCTACTCGGTCAGCATCCATCCTTGCATTCCCCCTCCCCGCCCTCCCTCTCTAACCCCCCTCGCCTCCTCCCCCTTCCCCCCTTTACTCACCTGCAATCATTTCGTCCACATAGTCACTGCTGATGTCCCCACGCCAACACCGCTCACCATCCATCCATGCCTTCCCCCTCCGCCCCTCTACCCCAGCCTCCCCCCCTTCCCCACCCCCCTCCACTCACCTGCAATCATCTCGTCCACATAGTCACTACTGATGTCACCACTAGCCAGCACCACTCACTCACTCACTTTAGATGCCAACCCCCACTTGTTCCCTCCCCCACCCCTCTCAACCCACCAGCAATCATCTCGTCCACATAGTCACTGCTGATATCACCACTAGCCATCGCCCCCACCTGTTATACCACAAAGTAGGAAGAAGGGGAAGGGTCGGGCAAGGAGAAGCATACCAGAAGCATACTATGGCACACAAATTTAATCTGCGATAAAATTGCAAGCACAGAATAACTTCAGGAAAAACAGGAGGGCGGGGTGGGGGAAGGGGTAGGGGAATAAGCTGTTTGGGGGGGGGGATCACAGAGCATCAAGTGTATGAGCAATAGCGTTTATGCAATAGTGTTTGCAGCTCACCACAAAGACTAGTGTTTCCGAGTTGTGCTTACGCAATAGTGTTTGCAGCTCACCACAAAGACTAGTGTTTCCGAGTTGTGTTTACGCAATAGTGTTTGCAGCTCACCACAAAGACTAGTGTTTCCGAGTTGTGTTTACGCAATAGTGTTTGCAGCTCACCACAAAGACTAGTGTTTCCGAGTTGGTTGTCTTCAAGAATTGACGCAGATGCACCACCTTCTGTGCGCTATACTCCAAGCCTGATGCGGGGCGAAGGGGGGGGGGGGGGGGGGGTATGGGAGGAGCAGAGGGAGCAGAGGTCAGGAGGGGAAACACAACAAGACAAACAATTTGGCCTGCGCCAACACACCTTCTGTGCGCTGTAGTGCTGACGCGGGGGGGGGGGGGGGGGGAAGGAGAGCTGACTCAAAAGTCAGCTAGTGGCGGGGTGCTTTGATCACCTTGTGAAGCGAGTGATGTACGTACAGTGGGAATGGCGCAACGCAACCAGAAGCTCACCTATTCTCCGGCAGCCCGGAGGCAGGTACTTGGTGACGGGGTGCTTGATCACCTTGAGGAGCTTACCAGTGGTGGGCGGTGGGTGGCGGGGTGCGAGTTAGAGAGAAGTGGTTTACAGTGGTGGTGGGTTTCTGCTATCCAAGCTCACCTATTCTCCGGCACCCAGCCGGCAGGTACTTGGTGACTGGGTGCTTGATGACTTTGAGCAGCTTGTCAGGTCCGTTTGTAGCGCGTATGGATAGCTTCTGCAGCAGCTGAACTGTTGGGAGCG